AATGAATCAGGTTCTATGACTAGTGAATCAGGTTCTGTTACTAGTGAATCAGGTTCTATCACTAGTGAATCAGGTTCTATCACTAGTGAATCAGGTTCTGTTACTAGTGAATCAGGTTTTATTACTAGTGAACCAGGTTCTATCACTAGTGAATCAGGTTCTATCACTAGTGAATCAGGTTCTGTTACTAGTGAATCAGGTTCTATCACTAGTGAATCAGGTTTTATTACTAGTGAATCAGGTTCTATCACTAGTAAATCAGGTTCTGTTACTAGTGAATCAGGTTCTATCACTAGTGAATCAGGTTTTATTACTAGTGAATCAGGTTCTGTTACTAGTGAATCAGGTTCTATCACTAGTGAATCAGGTTCTATCACTAGTAAATCAGGTTCTATCACTAGTGAATCAGGTTCTGTTACCAATGAATCAGGTTCTATCACTAGTGAATCAGGTTCTATCACTAGTGAATCAGGTTCTGTTACTAGTGAATCAGGTTCTATTACTAATGAATCAGGTTCTATTACTAGTGAATCAGGTTTTATTACTAGTGAATCAGGTTCTGTTACTAGTGAATCAGGTTTTATTACTAGTGAATCTCAAGTGCAACTTCGATGTTGGTTTTCTGCAAAAAATATCCCATTAAAGCGTCAGTTTGGTCTTAAATTGCACGTCATAATTTTCTAATCTTTCCTGCTTTTGGCTAACATTTTCTTTCATTTTTCAAGAGGTTATTACACTCTAAAAAAATGGCTTATCTTGGAAGATTAGGAAACACACGCTATTTGGGATGAAGATGAATAAACAAACTTTATCAATTAAGTTGTTGAGAGAAAGTTTGTAGATAAAATGAGAAGTATTAAAAGTTGCTTGGTTTTTAGCAACCAGAGAATGGAGTCCCGGATTTTAGCGTTGAGAGTCCCCGAACTTACCGCTTACTCATTAAGATTCTACTAAACATAATGCTTCGTCTTACAGACCAATGAGGAACGAGGATAAATCGTCATTGTAAAGAATGATAAGGTATGGGATCAGGTATCGTGTGAAATTATTAAGCTCGTGAAGGAAGGAGCGTTATTAGGCCTAAATAAAGTAATGAAAATGAAGCTTCATATGACAAAATGACGAGAAACGATAATAAGAAAAACGTTTTATCAGATAGAAAGAAAAATAACAAAACTTTATTAACTTGGGTGACAAGGAATGAAGTTAAACTTCATTTAGTACACAGATAAAGACATAGCCTTGTGATATCTAATGACGAAAACAAGCACGTATCTTTCAGATATAATAACAAGAAATAAAAATAAATCGGCGAAAAAAAAAAGACAGAAGGAACAACCGGAGTTAGAAACAAACAATACTCAGGTACAATAGATAGCCTGGTTGTTTGTAGTTGTCGAGCGCAAAGCTACACGATGGGGGTTTTCTGCTCCGCTTACTGCGGGTATCGAAACCCGATTTTGACAGTTATAAGCGCTGATATTTGCCACTGAGCCATCAGAAGTAATAGAAACAACTACTAGTATCGTGGAGCTCTGAGTTTTCTTTTTTTGTTTGCAATTAAGCACAGAGTTACACAACGTGCTGTGCCCCCACAGGTATCGAAACCCGATTTTTACAGCTTTCAAACTTACCACTGAGTCTCTTGAAGGGGAGAGGATTTCTGAGACTCGGGATGAATGTTGATAGAAAACATAATTGTTATTAGTCATAACGTTTATTGTGCGAAGTAGCATTACTAGATATTTCCAATTAAAACACATTTTGTTATCAATGTCGTTTCAAATCCCCAGTTTCTCTAGGGATTTTACGATGAGTCATGTAAGACATTTGGACTCGTTCTGACTGCAGATTTGACGATCGTCTATAGAAACAAGATAACATTACCTTTAATGATTGCTCAGACAATATGACTCTAAGTATTCTACGGTTTTTATACGTTGTTGTTATATTATACATTCAAATGTTATTTACATGATAATAAGCTACCTGAAATATTCATAAACTATGTGGTAATACTTAAAATGTTTGGGAAACTAATAAAGATAATAACAAAAACAGCTACAAGTAGACAACAGCAAACATTTCGTATAGCACTTCAATTAACAAAAACAGCTACAAGTAGACAACAGCAAACAGTTCTATAGTACTCTAGTTAACAAAAACAGCTACAAGTAGACAACAGCAAACAGTTCTATAGCACTCTAGTTAACAAAAACAGCTACAAGTAGACAACAGCAAACAGTTCGTAAAGCACTCCAATTAACAAAAACAGCTACAAGTAGACAACAGCAAACAGTTCGTATAGCACTCCAATTAACAAAAACAGCTACAAGTAGACAACAGCAAACAGTTCGTATAGCACTCTAATTAACAAATACAGCTACAAGTAGACAACAGCAAACAGTTCGTATAGCACTCCAATTAACAAAAACAGCTACAAGTAGACAACAGCAAACAGTTCGTACAGCACTCCAATTAACAAAAACAGCTACAAGTAGACAACAGCAAACAGTTCGTACAGCACTCTAATTAACAAAAACAGCTACAAGTAGAAAACAGCAAACAGTTCGCATAACTCTCCAATTAACAGAATAATCTACAAGTAGACAATAGCAAAGAGTTCATATAAAGCTCTAATTAACAAACACACCTACAAGTAGATATAAACAAACAGATCGCATGACACTCTAATTAACAAGCAAGTCTATATATATACATACATACAAGTAGATATAAATAAACAGTTCGTATACCACTTTAGTTAACAAACACACCTACCAGTAGACATAAACAAACACTTATTCATCTTCTTGAAGAGTCAGTCGACAATGCATTGCAAAGTTTACATTTTGTTAAAATTGGCTTAACCATCATTAACCACCATTACGCTCTGTTCACGATTCATACTTCTCAAGCGGAAGGCTCGACTTTAGCTTCTCAGGATGGAAGGATTATACTACTGGGAGAAGAAGCTTTGAGAAATCCAGACCAAACTAATCCATCAGCTGATAGAGGTGATTAAGATCAGATGCCATTCTACAACGAAAGAAATAACATTTGGGCATTACAGAAACCGATAGAGGTCGTTAGAAAGGTAGATTGGCCCCACCCATTATCATTCTTTCTCGCGAAAACGTACAGTGTTTCAAGGTGAAATCTGATCAATTTCAAGCTAGTAAACCTGGTGATAATAAGACACGTGAGGTTTGTTTGTTTTTTTTCTCTCATAACATCGAATGCTCAAGGCATTTGGTACATATCTTGACGTAGCATGCCCAGAGCAGAAATACAATTTTCATATTCGTTCTTCTTCTTCTTGTCCCCCCCCCCCCCCTATGGAATATAACCCAAAACTATTTCAACCATAGAAAGTGGCAATTGTTTTAAAACAACGTGTTTAAGGTTTAGTATATGTCGACAAAAGTATAGATTTACAAAGCGAAACCCGTTTCGCCTATTTTATTGACAGATTGTATAGTCCCCAGTGACTCAGCGTTAACTCTGTAGGCCTAAGACGCTAAATATTGGGTTTCGATACACGTGGAGAGCAGAGCACTGATAACCCATTGAGTAGCTTTTACAAAAATAACGTTTTGTAAAATATTTAATACAACTTCTTAAAGGTTCTAGAATATGAGAAAAATCTGCTTGAAAATATATTTCGAGAACAGAATAACAAACATGCAAAGGTCACTTTTTGAAGAAACCTAATCTAACAGAAGTAAAGGATTTTCAACAAACTGATGACCTTCGTAAGTTTTAATTCGATCGTTGAGGCGACACGAAATAAAGGTAAAGATGATTTCTTAACATCGAACCGTGTCTTTCAGGTCTCGGCGTTCTCTAATTTGTGACTGTATCATTGAGTCGTGTCCCTCAGGTCTCGGCGTTCCTTACATGTGGTTGTATCACCGAACCGTGTCCTTCAGGTCTCGGCGTTCTCTAATTTGTGACTGTATCATTGAGTCGTGTCCCTCAGGTCTCGGCGTTCCCTTACATGTGGTTGTATCACCGAACCGTGTCCTTCAGGTGTCTGAGTTCTCTAATTTGTGACTGTATCATTGAGTCGTGTCCCTCAGGTCTCGGCGTTCCCTTACATGTGGTTGTATCACCGAACCGTGTCCTTCAGGGGT